ACCACCGCTGATCGCCCTCGGCCAGGTCGACCACGTGTGACGTCACATGCAGGGGATCGTCACATTGTCTTACGTCACCTCCGTAACAGATTTTTGACGGCCACATCAACCAGAAATGAACTGTTTAGGGGTAGACTGAGTGCGCAAACTGTTTGAAACCGTCTGACAACTGCTCACCTTCAAGCACGACGGCCATACTGCGGGCTGATTCTGACTCAATTACACAGACGTCAACGTCAATTGTGGGCACAGCGACACTTACGATGGACTCAGAGGAATTGGAATAAAATCTTCTTCAGTGATGAATCCCGATTTAATCTTCGATTTGCTGATGGTAGGACGAGGGTGTGGAGGCGCCGTCATGAACGTTACACGTTGTGTATATCAACTTGTTCTCGTCGATTTTAAATTTTAACTCACTCACTCACTGTGCTAACTGGTCTGCTCCTGCTCAGTTACTGTTGTATGCTCCGTACAAGAAGTTAACCCGGAAATGTATACTAAAAGAATTCAGTGTGAAACCAACAAATAACAAGGAAATGATAAACAATAAACAATTGTATTATAAATGAACTTGTATTACAATTACTGCACAGCAATTACAACAGAGTGGCAGTACAAACTTAACTGGCACAGTATAAAATATAATAGCAGTGGTATTAATATTCACCGTGCAGAGTGAATGTGTGAGTCAGAAGTATGTTATTTTCTGTAAAAAACAACAACTAAGTAAGATGTACTGATAAGTTGTGCTTTATGTCATGGGCTTTCTGCTACCCTGGGCGGAAGCCCATTTATGTAACAGGTGCGTCTTTCTAAAAACAATAAAAGAAAGAAAAAATATTCACCGAGCAGCAACAGTGGTCAAACTTCCAAAATAGGCCAGGGTAAAAAACATATCTTCACGCAACCGCTGGTCTTGATGTACTGTGAGATGTAATGTGAGATGCGAGAGGCACGTCTTGTTCGCTTGTCTATAAATACCTCGCACTTTAGGACTGGTCCATAACCACAACAGGTAAATCTCAAATGTTTTGACTAGCCATCTCTGCTCCACTAACAATTGGGGTATCTGAAAAATGGGGCATGATCCCTCAATTCCATGTTTGTTTGTTGTTTAACGCCGCACTCTGCAATATTCCAGCTATATGACAACGGTCTGTAAATAATTTAGTCTGGACTAGACAGTCCAGTGATTGGCATCATGAGCATCGATCCACGCAATTAGGAAAACACGATGATATGCATCAACCAAGTCAAGGAGCCTGACCACCCGATCCCGTAAGTCGCCTCTTACAAGCATAGTCGCCTGTTACGGCAAGCATGGCTGGGTTGCTGAAGACCTATCCTAACCCCGATCTTCACAGGTCCAATTCCATGTATACAATAGTTGTGAAGTAATGGGTCAAAGCTGGTCCTGTAGTACAATTCGTCCCGATTATGTTTCTAGGTTTGTCAGCACCATACCCGTGCTCGTGGGTTTCACCGAAGTGGTAAACTGCGTCACTTCGGGCTTTCCTCCAACATTAAGCTGACACGCCGTGATATATAACTGGAATGCTGTTCAAAGCGGCGTTAAACCCAACTCACTCACTCACCTGTAGTACTATCTGCAAGTGTTACCATACTTCTTCAAGCCGTATGTCGCACAGTCACCATGGTTATTTTACAATGTATGGCAGTATACCTATCCAATAAACCGCCGTTTTTCTCTTGCCGATTCTACACATGAAACCAGAAACTAACAAATTTCTGCCACCTTGCTTCCGCGGACAAATACAACTATGGTATATTGGTACCTTTTGGCGACAGTACCATTTATCAGCACCATACCCGTGCTCGTGGGTTTCACCGAAGTGGTAAACTGCGTCACTTCGGGCTTTCCTCCCACATTAAGCTGACACGCCGTGATATATAACTGGAATGCTGTTCAAAGCGGCGTTAAACCCAACTCACTAACTCACCTGTAGTACTATCTGCAAGTGTTACCACACTTCTTCAAGCCGTATGTCGCACAGTCACCATGGTTATTTTACAATGTATGGCAGTATACCTATCCAATAAACCGCCGTTTTTCTCTTGCCGATTCTACACATGAAACCAGAAACTAACAAATTTCTGCCACCTTGCTTCCGCGGACAAATACAACTATGGTATATTTGTACCTTTGGGCGACAGTACCATTTATCATCCAAAACTTGCTCCCACAGGAGATATCGCTTGGATGAGATATACAGTCGTGCCTCGTTTATACGGACACTTGCGTCATTTCACAATTCGTCCGTATAAAGGAACTTCCATATAACTAAAACGAGCTTCTTACTGGAAGAGTTACTTCCCTTCAAATATGCGACAGATGACATAGCAAACAGATACATCCACTCAATCTTAATTCAAGACATACACGTTTCAAATAATCTGTCATGGAAGTTTGAACTTTACCACATTTTGAGGTTTGAATTTTAAACAGTAATTCCAAATTGTCCAGATCGCCACCCACGAGCATATGCAAAGTCAGAAACGTCCATTTCGCCACCAAAATCGCGTGTCGCTTACGTTTCGCTGGTTGACAGGCCATACTCACAGTTTGAAGTCACAACTTTGACCTCTGACCTCCACAGACGCCATATATATCAAATGGGATTACATGTACAATAAACAAGTTCGTCTCAAACGTAACTCAGTGTCACTTGGTTAATTGACTTCTCACAAATCAAAGGATTACCACCAGCGGAAGTGTATTGTCCGGGTAAGTGAGACAATTGTGTGTGCATTTCAGTGTTTTGTGTATGAAAATGACCATCCGGTTTCGGAAACTGAATTTCCGTATAAACGGGTAAATTTATTTAGTAATTATTTCGTTTTGAATGAGAATCGTCCGGGAACCGAGGTTTCCGGATATCTGAAGTCCGTATAAGCGGGGCATGACTGTATAGAATACTAAACGAGCTCCCGTGTGATACCAATTTTATGAAACGAGTGAATAGTTGTGGTATCTGACTCGCTTTCGCTCGTCAGATACCACAACTATTCCGGAGTTTCATAAAATTGGTTTTACTCGGGAGCGAGTTTAGTATTTTATTTATTACTTGCCATTTATAACGTTTTTAGAATTATACTGTTGAGTATGAATAGGCTGACACATACACGATCCACGACATCGTCCAATTGAGTTTAACAGAATAATACTTTAAACACGTCAAACGTTGAAACGTATGAATTTAATACCATACAACGGTCCACATTTAGAATTCACAAAATTATCGTAGGGCTAAGACTATCGCAACTCACATACTTTAACTTAGACCTAAGGACTGTCGTTGCGCTACAATACGATCGCCTTGTGGAACGGGCCTTGCACCTAAAAGTTTACAATAACGTCACAATACCCGATGACGTAATTTGTGGAATTGTGTTGCAAGATCCATTGGCGAAACAATGCCATGTGACGTCAGCCTAGCTAGCAACAAGGTTGCTGGGGCCATCGAGTGTGCATAAGCTCCTCTCAGTGATCTATCAACTCCACATATAACACGCAATGTCGTGGAATAAGCCAAGGGATGCTGAGAGCTTTCAATATTTGTTCGTGAAACGTGTTCCGAGAGTACATAAGCACGCGTTTTGGTATTTCACAATGTGTAATACAGCTGTATGTTTATTAAACGGGTGATCTCTTCACGGGCAAGTAATAACAAGCGATATCTACACTGAAGATATCGCTACAATGAAATTACATCACGATGCTTTGCAGACCATTGTGACGTCACTGGTTACCATGACGTCACAATTAAATGACATCACTAATGGCTCTGCTACTGAAGCTGTTAGCAGTACTTTTTACACTGAAGACACTGCTGATTACTGTCTACAAATTGAAAAAGTTGGAAGAATGATGTTGGAAGATAAATAAAATCTCACCCTCGTTTCTTTTGATATCAAATATGAACACTCGTTGATATATTTGTTATCAAAAGACACTCGGGTGAGATTCTCTATATATTACAAGCATACATAACCACACTGTTGTTACACACACGTGTCTTTGGTAAGGCTGCTGTCATAGCGACTGATTTACAACACCCATTGTCTGAAGAACATTTAATTGCAAAGTCTCATTACCCTGGAGCCATGACATCTATATGCCTTGCTGTTATTTATAAGATGCAAATCCTATTTGTTAATCCCCATTTTTGTGTACATCGACCGTCTGCCATCCTGAACGAGATGTGCAAGTATGTCACTGATGATTTACTGTTTACATTTATATTTATTACTTACTAAATGTCAGGTGACCATAGCTATATAAGCCTTGGTCCAGAGGAGAAATACGCATCAGTCGGAAAGCGCACGTTAAATCTCCAAAGTAAGTAAGTAAGTAAGGAGAAAAGGAAGGTCTTACCCTTAGCCTAGCTAGGGTTAGGCTGGGTGCTCCGGGGCACCTAGACAACAACCACTACCACTCTGTGCTGACCTGGCACATAGTGTCTTTTGTATGTATATATCTACATGTATAAAGTAAAACTGTATATACCGCAAGCCATCGTCTCCAAGTTGTCACTTCCTACTGAGAACCCATACGTCGGCCCCTTGCATATACTAGTATGCAAATTATTCATTAAACAACGTCAGACCGACACGCGTTGTTACTGCGCGAACCCATGGACCCATCCCCTCAAATTACGCGCCCTTGTTTTTCTTTTGGCTTCGCTTCTAGGTCTATGAAAATCAAGGGCAGTTGTCGGTTTACCGAAATGCTAGCCCTTGAGAAAAAGATGATGCCCATCCTGAAAGGAACGAAGTATAAATTAAGACGATCGATATATTTCATAATTCTATTCACAGATCAGCGAATATTTTAAACCCAGTCCCGAGATGACAGATGCTTGTGTTTTGCTAGTTTCATCTATTGTTTTAATACAAAACAAGATCCTTCGATTTGACAGGTATTTCGAGCGAATTGAAGTCGATGTATAGAGTTGAGGTGTAGTGCCCAGAAGGGCGAAGGGCATACAGGCAGTGATTGACATGCTCTGACACTGTAAGGGAGGGAACGGTAGGTTGAGTCGGGCGACGATTAGACATAATTTGGCCCATAATTTATGTGCCCAAATCTTCGCCAGGAAATAATTACCGAGTGCTCAGTCGAGTTGGCTAACGTCCTTATACGTGTAGCCGTTGTCTCATCGCTGCTTCCTCAACTGCCGTGTCACTGCATGGGCACAATGAACCCCGTCTGATAACGACAGCCTACAAGGGCATGAGTTAGCAAGGAGGCTAGGCGCTGTGATGAGAGACCCATAGATGGCCAATTTTCCACGCCCGTAGCACAAATGGATATATCCACGACGTGATAAAGGTAATACCGGTCAGAATAATACTCTGTATCTAAATCATCGAAACATGAACGGTCGTAATAATCCATATTTCCAGTTAACATCTAAATTTAGATCTAAATTCGTTTGGATTTTTACGGCTTCCGGAAAGATGTCGCCCGGATTTTACCAAATGTGACATTTCTCTTTCGAGCAGAGGTGGTTCAAGCTCGTTCGTGATTCGGGCGACAAGTTATTTGTTTTGAGCGATGTTTTTAATTCATGACCAGCTGATGACGTGGTGGCACTTTTATATGAGATGACAAACGGAGACGTCTAACCTCATTTACCAAGCCGGAGGACAAACATTCTCGACAGAGACATAAAATTACTTTATAGGCTCTGCTCTCGGTTGCTGATACATTTGAGCCCTACTCAACTGGAAAGCACCTGGTTAAACTGCATGGTATACTGTGAAACCTGATTAATCCGGAAAGTTCAAAATGAAATTGCTCAGATTAACATATATTTCCGGATTAGCCAGTTTCCGAATGAACAAATAGAGTGAATTTATCTGAATAATGTCCCTTTTCACTACCATATTTCCTCTAATATGCGCTGGGTACGAAGCAGTGTACAACACAACATGGGAGCGAGTGTCATACCGTATTCGATGTAATAAGCGCCCAGGGCGCTCTCAAAATTAGAAATAGGGGGCTCTTATTAGAATATTATTTTGGTGGAAAAAACAGTTGAAAGATAAATTTCGTGGTTTATGCTGACGGCCTGACTGTTTATATACGACAGATATATATTTTCCAGAATTTAATTGCCCATAATTAAGGGTGCATATAACACACGAGTGCGTATTTTACACAAATAAATAAGTCTTGTGCACATTGATCAATCGGAAGGGGTGCTATTTGGGATTGTTCACTTGCCAATACTTTAACAAATATCGCGTGGTCGCTTATTAGAGCGGGGCGTTTATTACGTCGAATACGGTATATAGTGTCGGATCATAGGTTTTCGGACAAAATACATATTCGGACAGCCATGTTTATTGCACAGTAACAGGGTGGTAGTAGACTAACATTTAGTCTCAGAAATCTTATATTACACAATATCCTTCTTAACTCAAAAAATAAATAAAAATTCCCTATGCTGATGGAATAGAGCAGCTAGAGCTGGCTAGAATTGCTTTTGTATGCTTTGGTAGCATCACACAGACATTGTAAATTTATACTCAGATGATGGCTTGTTTTAAAGAGAAAGTTGTCGTTTATAAATGAATGAGATGTTTTACAGTTGTTCATGTGATTAGAGAGATAACTACGAATGTTTCTTAAGTGTCCGAACCGCCCCTGTGGTCTAGTGGTAGAGCGTCCGCCAAGAGAGCGAGGGGTTCGATCCCCGACCGCGTCATACCAAAAGACGTTAAAAGATGGTACTTGTTCTTACCCTGTCTGGCGCTCGGCATTAAGGGGCTAAAACAAGGGCTGGTCGGCTCGGAGTCAGTATACTGTGTCTGAGTGGGGTATTCATGTTAAACTGAGGCATGGTTTCTCAGTGAGCTAGCACTATAAATCGGCATCAGTCCAGACTAGTACAAGCAGCCACACACACACACACACACGTGCATGCACGTCGCTATATAAGTGCAATAATCTTGGACGCGACATTAAACCCCATTTCACCTCACCTCTAAGTGTCTGAAAACCCATAACACAGGGATTAGTGATGCATCTGTTACTTCTCCCGGAAATAAATATAACATAATTTTGTGAAGTTCTTGATGACAACATTGAGTCTGTATTGTGAAGTAAGTCAAATGTTTATTGTGTACAAGTAGACATATATGTACAAAAAGCATTATGTGCCAGGTCAGCACATAGTGTTTGTGAAGTTGGTGCCCTGGAGCACCTGGCTGAATCTAGCTAGGCTAAGGGTGACACCTGTCTTTCGATCATCTCTGGACCAAGGCTTAAGAAATATACCCATGAAGATCCGGGGTAGAATAGGTCTTCAGCAATCCATGCTTGCCGTAAAAAGGCGACTAACGGGATGGGGTGGTCAGGCTCGCTGACTTGGTTGATGCATGTCATCGTCTCCCAATTGCGTGTATCAATGCTCATGACATCAATCACTGGATTGTCTGGTCCAGACTCGATTATTTACAGTCGCCATCATATATCTGGAATTTTGCTGAGTGCGGCATTAAATAACAAAATAAGACAAAGCTTAAAAAAATGAGAAGTGAGATGAAATGGGGTTGAACGTTGCGATCTAGGTTATTGCATTTATATAGCAATGTGCATGCACGCTTGTACACAGGGATTTATCTAGACCTGCTCAGAGGCCAATATTTGCCCCAAAGTGTGCAGCAAATGCAAAAATTCCTAATTTGAATTAAGAATTGCCCAATTCCTTAACATTTACAATAAAAAGAATTAAAAAATTCCAATTTTTAACACTATTGCGATTTGTTCCCAATTTCCCTGCTAAGGGCACTTAGTTTGGGATCCTAGATGAATCTTGGATAAGTCCAAATGCCCGATTTGTGGTGCCAGCAAACTGAGATACCATGTTAGCACACTGAGATATCATATGGATAACATGAGATACCATGGACACTCCACTCAGACACAGTATTGACTCGGAACCGACCTCTCCTTGTTTTAGCCCCTTAATGCCGAGCGCCAGGCAGGGTCACAACAAGTACCATCTTTAATGTCTTTTTGGTGTGATTCAACTAGGAGATAAAAGCAGCAGTAACCTTTTTGGTTAGAACAAGGATGGACCCGTGAAGATCTGGGTAGAGAATAGGTCTTCAGCAACCCATGCTTGTCATAAGGGGCAACTAACGGGATCGGTTGGTAAGGCTTGCTGACTTAGTTTATGCATGTTGTCGTATCTCAATTGCATGAATCGATGCTCATGAAGTCAATCACTGGATTTCTGGTCCAGACTCGATTATTTACAAACGGCCCTCATATATCTGGAATATTGCTGAGTGAGGCGTTAAACAACAAGCAAATAAAACAAAAGTTCCACTTTCAAAATTCTCATCTTTCTTTAAGAAGTGAGTGAGTGAGTGAGTGAATTTGATTTTACGCCGCTTTTAGCAATATTCCAGCAATATCACGACGGGGTACACCAGAAATTGGCCTCACACGTTGTACCCATCTTTCTTTAAGTCCAAAATGGCCACATACAGTAGTTTTCCCTCTTATGTAACCATAGCAATGCTTAATCAAGGTAACACCATGACCAATAGTGTGGGTACTAGAAATATTATTTATCTGAGATATGAGGAAGATAATAAGATTTTTCATTAGTGATAACCCCCAAAGAAATACAATTATTTATTTTATGACTTATCATGCTTATGAACATATTTATTTGCATATTTTCAGCACGTATAATTAACCATTTAGACTGTATTGCAATACAGTTTGTTGAAGGATTTGTGCCTCTCTAATAATAGGACTGTTTGTATTAACATGTGATTAATCTGCTATTTGCCTGGGTGTATTTATTTTCTGTCACAAGGGTTTCTGGATTAGAACGGGTCCCAAGCAGCCTAGGGGCAGCTGGGTAGCCTAGTGGTTTAAGCATTCGCTCGTCAAGCTGAAGGCCTGGGTTCGATTCCCGAAATGGGTACAATGTGTGAAGCCCATTTCTGGTGTCCCCTGCCGTGATATTGCTGGAATATTGCTAAAAGCGGCGTAAAACCATACTCACTCACTCACCCAAGCAACCTGTGGTCAGAGATTACCTAATATATTGAGTAGTCAGGTTCCGTGACTTGTTGGCGTGTCCATGTGCCCAATGGCTCAGGTCATTGTTCACAATGTCAATCACAGGATTGTCTGGTCAAGGCTCAAATAATTACATGTCACGGTAATGTAGCTTGAATATAGCTGAGTGCAGTGTTAAACAACCAACACATAAACACATGCACACACAGAGACATGCACGCACATACCAGAGACACCACACAAACACACAACATACGGTACACATACCACTACACCAGCTGCACTACACACACACCACCCGTGAAGATCAGGGGTAGAATAGGTCTTCAGCAACCCATGCTTGTAGTAAAAGGCGACTAACGGGATCGGGTGGTCAGGCTCGCTGACTTGGTTGAAGCATGTCATCGATCCCAAATGCGCGGATTGATGCTCATGATATAAATCCCTGGATTGTCTGGTCCAGAGTCGATTATTTACAGACCGCCGTCATATAGCTGGAATATTGCTGAGTGTGGCGTTAAACAAAAAAACCACGCACACACACACACACGCCATGCCACACACACGCCATGCCACACACACGCCATGCCACACACACACACACACACACACACACACACACACACACACACACACACACACACACACACACACACACACACACACACACACACACACGCCATGCCACATACACCACACACAAACACACACGCCACGCCACGCCACTCACCCCATGCCACACACATAAATACCACACACAAATCCACACACAAACATGCACACACACAGAGACATGCACACACATACCAGAGACACCACACAAACATGCACAGAGACATGCACGCACATACCAGAGACACCACACAAACACATGTACACACATACCAGAGACACCACACAAACACGCACAGAGACATGCACGCACATACCAGAGACACCACACAAACACACACAGAGACATGCACACACATACCAGAGACACCACACAAACACACACAGCGACATGCACACACATACACATACCACAACACACGCACAGAGACATGCACACACATACCAGAGACACCACACAAACACACACAGCGACATGCACACACATACACATACCACAACACACACACACAGAGACATGCACACACATACCAGAGACACCACACAAACACACACAGCGACATGCACACACATACACATACCACAACACACGCACAGAGACATGCACACACATACCAGAGACACCACACAAACACACACAGAGACATGCGCACACATACACATACCACAAC